GGGGCCTGTGTACGGGCCTCCTGGTTGTGGGAGGAGATGATGGAGGATTCAAGGTTGGCAGCAAAGAGAAATGGCCCGATCAGAAGGGGGAGAAGCAAGAACCACGAAGCTGACCTGAGAGGGATGACTGAGCAGAGCTCTTGTGGAGAGGCGACATTTGGCTTGTTCACTGGTGTTCATAGGACCCAGGCCTCTGCCAGGTCCCTTATGTTTATTTCCTCTTGATGATGCACGAGATAAGGGAACCGCTTGACCCAGTGGCGAGCCCAAGGCCACGGACTGTCTGTGGGGAGAGATGGGTTCAAGCCTCTCTGAACCATTGTCTCTGACTGCCATCACACAGAGCAGGGACCATGAAAGCGTTGATTGCGTGAATGATGGGTGTCAGGATAGAGGAAGCTGGTAACAAGAGGGGGACTGGGTGCTGCTGGACAGGGATGGGGGGCACTTACTCACTGGCTACCCTTTGCACTAAATGAGTATATTACTTTTCAGAATAAATACTTCAAATAATAAGTTCTACTATTTCCCACGCAGAATAAGAGGCCACTTTTGAAGGATCAAAAATCAGCTTAGCTTCAGTTTTCCTTTTTTTTTTCAAAATAAATATTCTAAATAAATAAATATTCTAAGCCCAGCATGATGCCCTGGTTGCTGTTCCATCCTTGTACACTAAAAATAAATGAGGCAAAGTGGGCACGAAATTGTTTATAGCAAGAATTACAGAAAACAGTGATTATTACACTTTAATAAGACTCTTTACAAATTAGTTGGATTGAAGGCTTTGATAGAGGATTGGTTAAAGTCATGAAAAAACAATGTATTCAGAAGAAAATACATTTATAGCATACGAAAGAAGTCAAAACATCACCAGGAATCATACAGATGAAGTTCAAACATAAAGCACTATTTTCAATCACTAAAATAGTTTTTTTTTTAAGTATAATACCCAATTCTGACAAAGTTATAGTGAAATTGCTTTAGGGCAGCATTAACTTGAAAATTACATCTATTTGGAGTATGAACTGGATATATATCAATTGTCATAAAAATGTTCACACTGCTTGATTGAGGAATCTCAAGTTAGTATATCTTGTCTAAGGAAATTATCCAAAAGGAGCGTAACCAAATATACAAAAATGGTATCACACCATTCTTTATAATGCTTAAACACTGAATACAGTTATTGTGCATAAACTTAATGGAATATTATACAGTCTTTTAAATTAACAAATAAAAATAATTTTTTCAAAGCAAACAATTTCATGCATGTGCAGAGATTTAGTTGCATGGATGTTTATTTAACATTGTTTATGATAAAAGATTGGAAATTATGTATCTAACAGTATGATGTAATTTTGGTCAAATAACTAACAGAAAATTCATGATGTTTATTTAAATTAATGCTATAGAATTATATTTGTCCACATGCTGATACATACTTTCAAGTTTTTGAAGTGAAAAAGTTATAAAACAATGGCAAAGTATATTCCATTTTGATTTCAAAACTTTTCAGACTTTTCAATTTCAAAACCTACTAAAAAGCTACAGTAATCATGACAGTATGGCACTGGCATGAAGTTAGACTTACAGATCAATAGGATAAAATTGAGAGCCCAGAATAAATCCATATACCTGCGTTCAACTGGTTTTGACAAGGGTGCCAAGATCATTAACAAATGGAGCTAGGACAACAGGATAACCACAGGCCAGAGAGTGAAGTTAGACTGGTACCTCCTACCATATACAAAAATTATCCCAAAATATATAAAAGATTTAAATGTAAGAGCTAAAACAGGAAAAAACATAGGCATAAATCTTTGTGACCTTGGATTAGGCAAAATTTTCGTAGATATGACAGCTACATCACAAGCAACCAAAGAAAAATAGATAATTTGGACCTCATCAAAATTAAAACTTTTTTATTGCACTGGAGGACATTATTAAGATAGTAAAAATACAACCCACAACATGGGAGAAAATACTTGCAAATCACATGCTTTGATAAGGGCCTCTCATCCAGAAAACATAAAGAATGCTTATAATTCAACAATAAAAAGACAAGCCAATTAAAAAAAAGGATGACAGACTTGAACAGACATTTCTCTAAAAAGATACAAAAAAGGTCAATAAGTACATGAAAAAGATGCTCACCATCACTAGCTATTAGGGAAATGCAAATTATAATTTCAAGGAGATACCACTTTACTAGATATCACTCTACTAGAATGGCTGTAATAAAAAAAATGGGAAATAACAAATGACGTCAAGGTTGTGGAGAAGTCTGAACCCTCGTCCATTGCTGGTGGGAATTTATTTATTTATTTATTTATTTATTTAAAAGATTTTATTTATTTATTTGAGAGAGAGAGAGAATGAGAGATAGAAAGCATGAGAGGGAAGAGGGTCAGAGGGAGAAGCAGACTCCCTGCTGAGCAGGAAGCCCGATGTGGGACTCGATCCCGGGACTCCAGGATCATGACCTGAGCTGAAGGCAGTCGTTTAACCAACTGAGCCACCCAGGTGCCCTGCTGGTGGGAATTTAAAATGGTGTAGTTACCACATAACCTGGCCCATATGACCCAGCAATTCCATGTCTATGTGTATACCCGAAAGAATTGAAAACATATATTTATGCAAAAACTTGTACTTGAATGTTCATAGCAGCATTATTCATAATGGCCAAAAAGTGTAAACACCCCAAATGTTTATCAACTGATGAAGAGATAAACAAAATGTGGATATACATACAATGGAATATTAGTTATCCATAAAAAGGAACGAAGTACTGATTCATGCTACAATATGGACGAACCTTGAAAACATGCTAAGTGAGAGAAGCCAGTCACAAGGACCAAGCCACATTCCTCTTATATGAAATGTCCAGGATAGGGAAATCCATAGAGACAGAAAATTGGTAGTTGCCTAGGTCTGGGAGGATGGGAGGAAAATGACAGCTAATGGGTATGGGGTTTCTTTTTGGTGTGATGACATGTTCTAAATTGATTGTGGTGATGACTGGAAAACACTGTGAACATACTATAAATCACTGAACTGTACACTTTAAAATGGTGAATTAGATGTTATTTGAATTATATAGTTACACTTGAACCACATGGGTTTGAACTGTGTGGGCCCACTTATATGCAGCTTTTTTTCTATAAATGTAGCCCTGTATGTATTGTAAGTGTATTTTATCATTTTCTTAATAACTTTTTTCCTCTAGCTTACTTTATTGTAAGAATACAGTATATAATGCATACAACATATAAAATATGTGTTAATTGAGTGTTTATGTTATTGGTAAGGCTTCCAGTTAACAGTAGGCTATTAGCAGGAACATTTGGGGGAGTCAAAAGTTTTATGCAAGATTTTCAACTGTCTGGGGGATTAGTGCCCCAACCCCTGCATTGTTCAAGGGTCAACTGTATATCTCATCTTAAAAATTTCAGAAAAGTATATTCCAAGCCAAACCCAAATGTCTATCTATCTGTCTATCTGTCTATTTCTGGGTGGTGGAATCAGGCATACATTTTTAGTGGCTTCTTCATAATCAAATGTATTATCTAAGTTATTTCCAATTAACATTTATAATTTATATAATAGCATAAGATAAAAGAAAACCCTAAAATAAACATTGACCATACTAAGTTACAATTTATAAATGAAGGGATGTAAGATAATTACACATTTTGCAACTATGCAGCAGGAGTATATAGCACTAGTCCTGAAAAATAGAACAAAATAAAAATAATTGTGCAAAAGTAGTAAAATTATGTATGAAGTAGTAAAATTATGTATGAATTTTTTGAAACTTTTTTCAGTATTATAATTTTTATCTTTACAAGTAGGAGGGAAAGAACCATATTTGCCTCATGAAATGAATTTGCTTTTTATTTGATATTGAAAGTGTTAATGACAACATTATCAACTCTAGGTGCCTTTTTTAAAGAATTCACCGATTCATTCTACAATAAATTTTCCGTTTCTTCCTTGACCTTTTCCTTTAGCTAATCTTTCCCTTTTACCTGAGTTTTCTTCTTGTGTAAGTTGTATTCAAAATTGTTAATTCCCTTTAATATTTAAAACTTATTAGAGTTTAGCTTTGAATAATATTTCCTAATAATTGAAACTCTTTTTGTGTTTGTAACTTTTGCATTTTGTTTCTCTTACATTCTCTTGGGTATTTAGTTGGCTATCCTAATAGTCTGCAAATATTTTATTAGTTAATTTCTTCTCAGTTTTGCATATTAAGCAGATACCCTCTTATTTTCTAATTTATTTGTTTCATATTTTTTGCTTTTCCCTTTTAAATTTGTTACCTAAATCTTTAAAAAATTTAGGTGTAGATTTAATTATTTTTTTCTTTTACCTTCTTATTAGCATAGGAGGAGAGATACAAAAGTTGCTGACACAGCTTTAACTGTGTAAATGATATCTTTTTTTCTTTGTCTTTAAAGTAATGTCCCCATATTTGGTGTTGCCTTTTTAACTCAATTATTCCATCACAGAGTCTTTCTTCCCTTCTTGCATGGTTGTGTGCGTATAGGTAGTATACTGGCTTTCTTTTCAACTTTATTTTATGGAAGTCCGAGAAAGCATGTGTAAAATCTTTGTGTATCTATTGTGAATATCTTTATCTTGAAAACTGCAATTAATTGTTTGTGAAGCCTTAATGTGCACTTGAGAAAGCTCCCTATTTCCCAATTTTTCCTTTTTGGATCAGTTCCTCCAATTGCCTCCTTCTGTGGAAGAAATGGAGGCCCCCGAGGTGCAGGGACTTGCCCATGATCTCTCAGTGGGGCTGGGGCAGAGCCTGTGTTTGGGGCCAATGAATGGAGCATTGTGGAGAGTTAACGCCAACATGCTCCAACAGCACCCTTCCTCTGCTGGTGCCCCGTTCTGTTGAAAAGCTACAGAGCAGGGCTGCCTTAGGCCAGACAGCTTTATTGTGTGCGTACCCTCCCCTGCAGCTTACACTGCATCATACTGACCTGTTACCCTTGGGCTTCTCTTTGGCGTTGCCTGAAGAAGGGATTCTTTTCTAGGATGCTGCCTTCTCATGAAAACAGACCTCCAGTGGGTCCTGCCACGGGTGTTCTGGGCATGCCCAGGTATGCCAGAATCCTGGGATGAACATAACTTAATCAGTCAAGCTGGGACCCGCTATACTTGCTTTTATGCAAGCATGATTTACCTGAGCCAGGCTTTTAAATTATTCTATCTCCCCTTTCTTTAAGTGTATTTTTTTTTAAAGATTCATAGGTGTGGATTTTGTCTTTTTAATCCAGTCTATGATGCTGTTTTTTAAATAGGAGAATTTAGTCCATTTACATGTAATCTTATAATTGTTGTAATTGTGTTATTCTGTATTTTTCTCAGTTAATAAAATTCTTTGTTTTCTCTTTAGCTTAATTTAGGATTTCTATTGGAGGCCGTGTTTTTTCATTCATTTAAGTGAGATGAGATGTTCTCACAATTTTCTGAACAACCCAATTTCCTAGTGTTCTACTATGTTTTCACTTACCCAACAAAAAACAGACTGTGCTCATTTCTTTATATTTGTTCTAATTAAAAACTACTTTTCTTAAAAAAAAAACAACTGTTTTTCTTTCTTATGAATAGATTCAGATTTTTTTTGGGGGGGGGTCATTCACTCACCTTCTCTAAGTCCTCTTTAGTCAAATCCTCTTGGTTTCATTTTAGCATTCTGAGAAGTTTTATCTCCAGTTAAATATTTTGAAATATGATGATCACATTTTATAAAAATTATACGTTATACTCTTGCTTTTCAGACTAGGTTATGTCTACCTGTGCAGATGAGCTATCTAGTGCATAATATTATTTCTCCCTGCCTATATACCTTCATTGAAATCTGCCCCCTTTCCTGAGGGTCCATGGGTGCACACACATACACAGAGATCCTAAGGAAGGTATAGGCCTGAATGGCCATAATTGTACTGAGTGAGTCTGTTTCCCCGGGTCAGCCGACTGGCTCCCATGGACCCCTCGCCCAGTTCAGGCTGGCCTTAGCCAATCAGCTGTTTTCTCTTTAGACTTCGAAAACGAAGCACCTTGTTCAGCATTGGGCCCTGGACTGGGAGAAAAAGACTCACCTTTTATTGAAATTGTCCCCCACCCACCTCACACACACACAGACGCAGAGCAAACCCATCCCTCTCCTCCAGCACATGACTCCTTGGAGGAGAGTTGCTATCTGAAAAAAAAAAAATTGGGGGGTTCTCTTAGCATGCCAAAAGAGAAGTTTGGTAGTCTGCAGCGTCTGTTACAGAAGGAAGAAAGAAAGCTGTCTCTGTCAGGACCATCATCTACAAGAGACTTAGCTGTTTTACACTCCTAAGACTGACTACCATTTAGGATAAATTCTTATCAAATGATAATGATAACGAATATGTATTTGCTCTGTGCCAGGCACTGTTTTAAGTGCTTTACATGTATTGACTCATTTAAATTTCACATCAACCTTATGAGGTATATATGAGGTGAATAATACCATCATTATTCACATGCTATAGGTAGGGAAACCTCAATGGAGAGGTTGAGTAATTTGCCTAAGGACACACAGTGAGTAACTGAAGGAGTTGGATTTGAACCCAGCAGTTTGATTCCCCTTAAGTGCTATGACGCATTACTGTTGTATTGGAATGGCCAGCTTCCTGTGAGGTTGATATCTGGCAGGCGGCAAGGTACAGGAGAAATGTAAAACCTTGTCCTATAAAGACCATCCTCTGCAGTGAGTTCTCCAACAAAACAAAGGCATCAACATTCTGGGTTTAATGAGTTTAAATGTCATTCTTTCTCTTTTATTTTTTTTTTTTAAAGATTTATTTATTTACTTATTTGAGAGAGAGAGAGAGAGAGCACAGGGGGAAGGCAGGGGGAGAGCGAGGAGAGAAGCAGACTCTCCACTGAGTGCCCAGCCTGATGTGGGGCTGGATCTGAGGACCCTGAGATCAGGACCTGAGCCAAAATCAAGAGTCAGAGGCTTACTCAACGGAGCCACCGTGATCCATCCATCCTTCCTTCCTTCCTTCCTTCCTTCCTTCCTTCCTTCCTTCCTTCCTTTCCTTCCTTCCTTCTTTCCTTCCTTCCTTCTTTCCTTCCTTCCTTCCTTCCTCCCTCCCTCCCTCCCTTCCTTTTCTTTCTTATTAACATATAATGTATTATTTGTTTCAGGGGTACAGGTCTGTGATTCATTAGTCTTAGAAAAATATGGACCCCTTCACGAATTTGCATGTCATCCTTGTGCAGGGGCCACGCTAATCTCTGTATTGTTCCAATTTTAGTATATGTGCTGCCTAAGCGAGGACCATTCTTTCTTTTTTAAAATGTAGTAATTATTAGATGCCATTTACAGCTGCTGAGATATATCTGTGATTAAAAGAGAGAGCTCAAAATTAGAAAAAAGATGGAAGATCAGAAGAAGAGAAGATCAAAATGGGAGGATGAGAGATAAAGTTAAAAAATAAAAATTAAGGCAAATTTAAAGCCAAAGATGTGGGAATAAAAACTTAGAAAGAATAACATTGTAAATGAGAAGTTTCTAAAATTCATACTTGAAGTAGCATATGTTAAATAGAAAATAAAAGAAACAAAAGAGCAAAGAACTAGAAAATGAAAAAAAATAAATCTAAAAAATTAGGAATAACATGTTGATGGCTCCTGATAAAATAAAATGAGCAGTTAGAAGTATTCAAAAAGACGAGATTTTAAATAGGAGCTAGAAGGTAAAAGAGAAATTAAAATAAGGGCTAAGATCTATGAGGCAAAAGTTGTGAAGGATCTAGAAGGATTTATATTTAAAAAGCTAAGAGAAAAATAATACTCATAAAGATAGAGGGAAAAGAAAAAATAAGTTTAAAAAAAACTAAGTTTAAAGTGAGACAAGAACAAAAACAGACTCTAATCAGACAAGAATTCCAAGTGGGAAATAGTGGTCTGGGTGGAGCTAATTGCTGGAATTGAGGAGGCCAAGATCAATTGACATGGTGATGATGAGACATATTTTCTGCTCACCCATAACACTCAGCCGGCAGCACTATCAGCCTGCAGACGTAAAGATGAGGCTCATGGCACTTGACTCCATCCCACAGCCGACTGGGTCCTTCCAAAGTCATACCCCTAGGCCAGCAAACACTCCTTCACTTTGGTTCTTGGAATATGTTCAATTCTACCTTAGTTTTTCTTCAACATATTTAATAGTCCTTTTGTTATCTTTTACTTCCTTCAAGATGGAATTCACATGTGAAAGGCAATCAAACATGTTGTTGTTGAATGGATTTGTTCCACTGTATTTCCTTGAAGTTCTTGTGGCATTTGGTTACTATGCTGTTTGTTTTCTCTCTCTCACACACACTATCTTTATCACCCAGGTTCGATTTTGATGTTCTAACACTTCCTACTGAACCTGATTTGCTTGGTTATTTGCTCCTTTCAATGTAATTGTAGTAGCGGGATTGGGTTGGGGGGAATGAGACAATCTACAGGACTTGTTCTTGGACTGGGCTGTGAGGGTGAGGGTGTGGTGGAGGGGTGGGGAGTGGAGGAGTCACGGATGTCTCCTAGGTGTCTGGGTTTCTGCCTCTGTGACCGGGTAATGTTAATATAGGAGAACACCGAGTTGGGGGTGGTGGTGGTTAGGAATCAGGGTCAGGTTGGACCTGGAAAACTCTGGGGCACTATAGTTGTCTATAATCCTTAAATTCCCAGGAAGGCTTGAATTTCATAATAGACACACTCCCTCCCAATGCCAAAATGGAATTCTTCTGGAGGTAGCAGATGGCTCACTGTTTATACCAACAGGGCATGGTAACCCTGGTCCTCTGTTTATATTCTGGGCATTCCTCAAAGCATTTTGCATCATTAATTGGCTATCCTTTATCCAGAGACCAAAGTCAGACAAAGCGCATCATCTGGAACCTTTCATGCCCACACCATCCTGGAAGTACAAAGTTCACCCACAATTCTCTGTAGTTCTCTAAAAATAGGCTCTTCACAGCAATGATAAGTTTCCATCTCTTGAGGTACCATTGAAATCTCCTGGAACCCCAGCCAAGTCGAGCCTAATGAATCACTTTGGCCCTTCAACAGAACACAGTTCTTTAGAATTGATGCTCTATTCAAGGCTGCCAGGAACATGCAGGATAGACTTTATCTATTATACTTTAAGGATTTGGGGCTTCTTTTTGTCTATATTACAAGTTGACTTTGTCCCTTCTGTTCACAGAACAATTGATTTAGCTTCCTTTTATCAAATTGTAACCATTTTCTGGTCCTGCCTTGCTTATGTTATACCTAGGCTGATATTTTGGGTGTTTTAAACTTTTCAGCTGCACATTTCGAATTTCTTGGTTTACTCCCACAGATGGCTGGTTACATCCATTGTGGATAGATTTACAGTGTCTTAGGGAAGACTATGCCTCTTCTGGACGAGCTTGTTGTAATAACTGGATATAATGGGAATGTACTGGTTCTGGACTGGAGGTATGCTTGTGGGGCAAGCCTCTCACCCCAAGTCACTCTACAGTGTGGCTCTACAGTTGTGGTTTTCCTTTGGCCCACATGAGGAAGCCCAGAGCTCACTCTGCTTAGATGACATGGGAACACGTCCAGTCAGCCCTGAAGCCGTCACACTGGCTGACACCAAACTTTCTGTCAGCCGTCCCCAAATGAGATTTTCCTGTTGAACTTACGTACAATAATTGTCTTTCCTTTGCTCTGGTCCTTGCTCATCTATTCCTGCTTCTAATATTTTTGGTTTTCTTGGCTTCATCTTCCATTTCTGGCTCTGAAACCCCAGTTTTTATGTTATTAATCCTTTGTTCTTTTCCTTTTCTGGGTCTTCCCATCCCTGGCTCCATTGGGCCCTCTCTCACCCATTGGATCACTGTACCTTTGCCATCTTCTGCGTCCTGCCCCTGCTGGGCTTCTTCCATCTCATCTACAGTTTGAATAGACAAGTTTTGCCTACATCACAGTTTTTGCGGAGGATTCTGACCTGTGTGAACATTAAAAACCAAAGGCTCAGGGCGCCTGGGTGGTTCAGTTGGTTAAGCTTCCAACTCTTGATTTTGGCTGAGGTCATGATCTCAGCGTCCTGGGATCAAGTCCTGGGTCAGGCTCCATGCTCAGCGGGTGGCGCGGGGGTCTGCTTGAGGATTCTCTCTCATTCTCCCTCTAACCCCCTCTACCCCCTCCACTCACATTCTCTCTCCCTCTCTCAAATAAACCTTAAAAAAAAAAAAGGCTCATGGGTTCATTTATTCTTTAAACAAACATCGATTGAGGCCTTTGTGTGAGGCAAGCACCGTAGATGCAAGATAAAATAAATTATTTTCCACATTCAAGAATTAGTAGAGGGGTGTCTGGGTGGTTCGGTCGTTAAGCCTTTGACTCTTGATTTCAAGCTCAGGTCATGGTCTCAGGGTCATGGAATTGAGCCCAGTGCTGGGCTCCAGGCTTAGCAGGAAGTCTGCTTGAGATTCTCTTCCTCTCCTTCTGTCCCCCCTCCTGCACACATACTCTCTCTCTAAAATAAAGAAACCTTTATTTTATTATTTTTTAAAGATTTTATTTATTTGTCAGAGAGAGAGAGAGAAAGCCCAAGCATGGGCAGCAGCAGGTAGAGGAGCCTGATGTGGGTGGGACTCGATCCCAGGACCCTGGGATCATGACCTGAGCTGAAGGCAGATGCTTAATGGACTGAGCCACCCACCCAGGTGTCCCTAAAATAAAGAAATCCTAAAAAAAAAAAAGAAAGAAAAAAGAACTAGTAGAGGTATTAGTAGAGGAATCCTGAAATTTACAAATACTTTCAAAAACATTAAGGCATTCAGGAACAATTTAACGTATCTCTTTTCCTTGTTCGAATATGGAGCATATGGTGGTGGACTCCGTCACTACATAGATTCAAGCCACTGTCGATATTGACACCATATTCCTGAATTTTGATTTTTTTATGGTCACCACTGGGCACTTGATGGCCACATCATGACACGGTGACCACGTCCTCACTGGAATTCTTTCCTCTCCTGCTGTCTTCTCAGCAGTCCTTCAGCCGAACATTCTGACTGCTCTTTGGGAGGTTCCTTTTCCTTGGCTCACACCACAATGTTGATGTTTTCTTAGGTTCCATCCCTCTCTACCCACGTCCCTGGGCAGGCCACACTGACCTTTCAGTAGGTTTCTCAACCGAGCCTACTTTCTTTCTTACCTGAAACACTCCTCCCTACTCTTTTACTTGCTTGAAGTCTCCACCATTGGCTTTTCCCCACCCGTGTCTGCGTAGGCCCCACGGCCTCTACTTAGCCCACCCGGGGAAGCAGCACCCCTCTGCCTGCCCTCCCATCAGTCTGTGCATTCTGAGGGCAGGGACCACGGCTGGATCGCCCCTCTCTGCATCTCCAGGGCCAGCCCTGCTAGCAGGTGTCCAACAACCGAGTGTCTACTAAATGAAAGAATGAGTAAAACCCTGACCCAGGAAGGGGCCCGCGTGGCTACAGCCGGGGGCCTAGAACCCGAGCTGGGCGGGGTCCGGAGCCGGGGACTGAGGCGGCCGGCGTCGGGCGGGAAGGCTTCTAAGAGGTGGCCTCGCTAGAGCCATCGGCTACAGCCCATCGCCCCCGCGAGGCGAGGCCCGAGAAGTCGCGTTGGCCCTTCGCCAGCCCCTGCCAGCCGCCCCACCCCCTGCAGCCAAACAACCGCCGACCACCGCCTCCGCCGCGCTCTTGCTGCGCGCGTCGCTCTTGGCCCCTTCCGGCCACCGTTGCTCTCTATACCGCCGCGCCCCTGACCCGGAAGAGCATTCTCCTTAGCAACTGCGGGACCGCAGCGGCGCCAGCCTCCCGGGAGCAACGGTGAGGCCTCCTCGCCCCCGTCCCGCGCGCCTCACCTCGACCCCTTTCCTGGACCGGCCCCGGGGCTGGCCTGCCGGGTCTCCGCAGCTCTTGGTGGGGCACCTGCGGCAGCGGCCCCGGGCGAGCGCCCTCCACTTCTGGCACCGCTGCCCGGCTCCGACGTCGCCCCTGCCCACCACAAGCCCCCAGCTCTCCGCCGACCCGGCCTGCCAGGCTCGGCTCCTCGCGCCCGGCCCCGCCGGCCCTCCCTTGTAGCCCCCTTAGGGGCGCGGATAGGAATACCCGAATTAAACAGTGCCTGTTGCTGTAGAGAGGACGCTTCCCGAGGCTCGGGTCCCCTGTGGGCGCGTTCTTATGGGTCCTGATACAGATGCTTGGGACTGGCAGGGATGGAGCGTTTGAGGAGCCTTGAACAGCAGCCACTTAACTAGAACACTTGCTGTTTGCCTGCTGCTTTGCGCTTTCCAAAGTGGTGTATTTTATCTGCTTTGTTGACCGTGGAAACTCATGTAATTGAACATTTTAAACTGATCCTTTTCCGGGGATTAGGTTTTCTGTTTTTAGCGGTGTGCGGTTAGTATCATGTAGCTTAGATTTTGTGTCTTCCAATTTTCTACAGAAGGAGCTCTCCCTGGGACTGATTAAGTTTGGGAAAAATTTCAAGAGAAATTTGCTAAGTTGAAGTAGGACAGGTGTTGTTAATATCTTTGGCTTACATTTGAAAAGATACCATGACACTGAAAACCTCCCTTAATTGAGTTTGTAGATGTGGTACTAAGAAAACCCTAAACCTTGTTTGAACATTGTTGGATAACGACTTTATATTTAATCTAATGATGGAGCTAAAACTGAGGCATATGAAAAATTTTTAGGAATGACATTTCAGGGATGATATTTGCGGGAATTTCTATACCAAAATCCATTATTTAACGCAGTATAATTTCTTATCAGTTCGGTAAGTATTTAATAAGCACCCACAGTGTTATTATGTGAAAGGATATAAAATAAGAGTGTATAGATTAAATTATTGGGAAAACTATAAAGCAGCATTTGTTTAAAGGCAAAGTCAGAGGGAGGAGAGAGCAGTGTGGGCTGGAGTTTTCTGTATTATGTTTATGGATTATATCTCTAAAGTATAGATAGTTTGTATTTGTGTTGGAGGGGACAGGGAATCCTAAATAGTTTCTTATGTTCTTAAGGGTTTTGGGAAATAGTTCCAAGTGACATTTTGTAGTTTTTCTTTAAAGCTCTACGGTTACTTGATGGCAGTATCTATTTCTTTCACTCTTAGTACAAATCTGGCATTTTTCCTGTTTGAGATCTAAATAAGTATGGCTTATAGTAGGGGGCTTTCCCACTTAAGAGATTCACTCCTTTGCTTCTGTGACGGTCTTACTTTTATACGAGTCACCACAGTTTTCAGTAGAGTTAGTTACTAGTTCATATATACTCACCAGTCCTGTGAAATGTTGCTCTTTGTTCATTTGACAGGTATTCCAGAGTGCCCCCTATGTAGCAGGCATTGTATCAAGAAATGCCAAAAACAATTTGCTCAGCAAATAGTAATTCTGCTTTATCTACGATGTGTGTGTGTATTTGTGTGTTTTACTTACCAGCCTTCGAGGCTCAGCATTTGCCTAGGGACATAGAAGGGCCAGAGAGGTTTTTTTTTCCCTTAAGAGTTGCATAGGGATTTTAGGCTTAATTGCTTTGGACATCCTCCAAAGATTCATTAAGGAAACCTCTTAGGATGTTTCATTGCTTTCTTATAGGTTTAGTGCCCATTTATTCACTTGTTCAACAGATATTTGACTGCTTATTGGGTATACCGTGTTTGGCCTTGGAAATGGAAGGGGAGAGCAAATGCATCTCTGGCCCCTGTCTTCAGCAGAGGATACCAAATAATCACGTGAATGTAAAACTGCAACAGTGACACTATTTGATTTAAGGGAAGTCACTGGAAAGACATTTGCACTAAGATCTGAAGGATGCACAGGAAAGGAAGAGTGTTCCAGTCAGAGCAAACAGCAAGGGCAAAGATGGTGGGGTTCATGGGGAGGACTGGGGATTTAGGGTACAGCTCTATGTAGAGAACAGGAAGAGTGTTGAAGAATCTGGTGGGAGAGGGGGTTGGAGAGGTGTGGTGGGCCTTGTAAGCAGTTGAGGAGTTTTTATTTTTGGAATAAGGTGAAGTCTCTATACAGTTTTACTTAGAGACTTAGGCTGGATTGCAGATGGGGATGACACAGATTGGATTTAAATAGTCTGCTTTGTATTTCTACCATTGTTTAGTATTTGTATTGTCTTCTTCCTTATTTCCTTAACATGCTCCCTCAGCTTTATTGTAGTTAGAGAAGCTTCCATGTCCTACCAGCAAGATGTGTCCATTTTATTTATTTATTTATTTAGTTGGGACAAAAGGAGTTTTAGGGATTAGTATTGGACAGTAGAGGTTAGTTGATTTGAAATAGTTTTGCATCAGTATGACTGCTAGGGCACTAACTACTGTGACTTTTTTTTTTTAAGATTTATTTATTTACTTGAGGGAGAGTGCGCGCGTGAGAGCACATGGTGGGAGGGAGGGTTAGAGAAGAGGGAGAGAGTCTTAAGCAGACCCTGCCTAATTTGGAGCTGGAGGTGGGGCTTGATCTCAGGACCTAGAGATCACAACCTGAGCTGAAACCAAGAGTTGGACGCTTAGCCAAGAGTTGGAAGCTTAACCAACTGCGCCACCAAGGTCCCCCTATGACTGTTTCTTTTTAATGGTAGTAATAAAAACACATAAAACTTACCCTCTTAACCATTTTTAAGTGTATGTTCAGTAATGTTAACTATATTTACACTAGGACTTTTTTATCTTGCAAAACTAAAACTCTGTACCCATTGAACAACTCCCTATTTCTACCACCCCCCCTCCCCAGCTTCTGGTGCATTTGAGTTTTATTGCTGTAAATGCTGTTTTTTTTTTTTTTTAAGATTTTATTTATTTGACAGAGAGAGAGAGAGCACAGATAGGCAGAGCGGCAGGCAGAGGGAGAGGGAGAAGCAGGCTCTCCGCCGAGCAGGGAGCCCGACGCTGGGCTCAATCCCAGGACCCTGGGATCATGGCCTGAGCCAAAGGCAGACGCTTAACTGCCTGAGCCACCCAGGCACCCCTGCTGTAAATGTTTTAAGAATCATTATTTGTACCACATCTTATAGTACTCATCTCAGAATGCCTTCAGACCAGTTGATTTTGGGTATTGGACTGAAAATGATTTTGAGATGGCTCAGTATTTTAAGTACAAAAAAGTATAACAAAGTATTTTCTTGGATGGGGGAGATTTGTAAACTTTTATTTGCAGTTTCCCAATTTGTCCTAGACTTTGCATTCCTGCAGTGTTGTAGAACTAGCCTTATAGAATCCAGTTAGAATGTCCTTTGAATCTTCAGAAAATTTTTTTGTTTTATATGGGGAATTGCTGTGGGAAGTAAAGTTCATTTTCATGCAAATACTACTGAGCACATGCACAAGTCAGACTGTGAGTGGGCCTGGCATGGTTCCATAGATCCCTCTGAGGTCCAGCCATCTGTGCCATTACTGGTGATGTCAGGGAGACAGCCAGAATTCTTGTTGTCTTTATTAAATGGAGGGTGGTGGAGCTGCACGAGATCCTCCTTTGTGTCACATTATGGGACATAGAAGGATCTGACAAGGACTTTTCAGATAGCATTTTATTTTGGAACCATAGCAAGAACTTGATGCCCCAAGTTGTAATTATGCGATTAAGTCTCACATTGAGGCTGGAAGTGGTCAGGTTTAGTCAACTGTTAGTACAAAGAACTTATTTTTCGAGTTTCTTTTTATTGTGGTAAAATTTACTGTCTTAACCATTTTTAAGTGTATGGTTCAGAGGTATTAATTACTTTCGTAATGTGTAAACATCACCACGGTCCATCTCCATAACTATTTTTCATCTTTTTTTTTTTTAAGATTTTATTTATTTGACAGAGAGCAAGAAAGCACATGCTGGGGGACCTGCAGAGGGAGAGGGAGAAGTAGGCTCCCTGGGGAGCCTGATGCACGGCTCGATCCCAGGACCCTGAGATCATGACCTGAGCCAAAGGCAAACGCTTAACCGACTGAGCCACCCAGGCGCCCCCATAACTATTTTTCATCTTGTAAAACTGAAATTCTATGTGCATTAAACAACTTTGTATTACCTCTCCCCAGCTTCTGGCAACCACTATTCTACCTTCTGTCTCTACAATTTTGAGTACTCTGAGTACCTCAGAAGTAGAATTATACAGTATTTATCTTTTTATGACTGGCTTATTTCATTTAGCATAATATTCTTAAGGTTCATCCATATTGTAGCATATGTCAGAATTTTCTCCTTTTTAATGGCTGAATAATATCCCATTATATGTATATACCACATTTTGCCTTTCTGTTCATCTCTTGATGAGCACTTGGGCTGCTTCCACATTTTAGCCATTGTGAGTGATGCTGCTATGAACATGGGAGTACCATCCAACTATTTTTTTTTTAAGATTTTATTTATTATCTGGCAGAGAGAGAGAGAACAAGCGGGGAAGTGGCAGGCAGAGGGAGAGGGAGAAACAGATTCCCCGCAGAGCAGGGAGCCCAATGTGGGGCTCCATTCCAGGACCCTGCGATCATGACCTGAGCCAAAGGCAGATGTTTAACCGACTGAGCCACCCAGGCGCCCCAACATCCAAATACTTTTAATTCCTTTCTTACATTCTAATACAGCTGCCTCTGGGACCCACTAATGTCGGCAGACAAGAGACAGTGTTCACAGTGGCAGAGAAGGCCTTTAATGGGCCCAAAGTACAGTGAAAATGTCACTGATGACACCTGGGGCTGATAAGGGCTGATGGAGGTACCTTGCCTCAGAAAATGCCTTCTAATTAGAAAAGAAAGAAGAGGATGGAGGCTATTATTTCTGGAGCCCTCTCCCCTCCTGTGTGTCAAATAATTCACATGCCGTATGCCA